ACCCGCTTCGCTGGCTCTTCAGAACAGAGCTACTCCCATGCCAAGCACACATCTCTGCTGCATTTTCATATTCTCCAAAAGTCTCCCATTAAAAAGCTGAGCGGGGAACAAGGGGTGAGTTTAATTTGCTTTGAGTTTGCTAATTGAAGGGGAGGACGGTTCATTTCTGCACGCTGATCTCCAAAAGGGAGCTCGTTTGTCGGGAACGAGGGGTTTGACATCTGGACAAAAGACCCCGACCAGCTTCGGAATCAAGCAGGACAAAGACCACCTTAAATACAGCTTTCCAGTGGAAATAAGCCTGTGACCGGCCCCTTGTTCGGAGAACCTCATAAAAGTGGCGATCCCTTTTTATTGTTTTGTGAGGGAGACATTTTAAAACAAAAGCTCCAACCTCTTTATTGCTTCCCCCCGAAAAGGGGAAAAAAAGTGTTACAACTTAATCCGCACAAGAGAGCGTTACTGTTTACTGGGAACTTTGAACTAGGCTGCGACTGGAGATGGGGGTTCCCCCCCCTTAAATACTGTAGCAGAAACAATGCCTTCCGAAACGCCTCAGATGAGTCTCCCACATCAGCCCCTCCTCCCCCCACAACTCTCGTATGACTCTAACCAAACCGCGTGAAACCTAAGAGAGCCGAGCAGCAGAGTTCAAGAAGAAACTGAAAATCTCTCTAAATAACCCATCTGGCTTTAAACACACACCTCAGACAGTTCCCAAGCGCCCTAAATACTAAATGGCTCGTCCACCCCATAAACTCTTACGGCTGGACCGCTACGAAGCCTCTGAAGCAGACTCCGCCTGGCATGCGCTTCAAGGAACCAAGCTGTCTTGACAATTCTCAAACAATTCAATTATTCCAATCTGTTTCCTTCCAGCATCTTTGATGCACGCCCAAATCATTCCGAGTGACTGAAACAATCTGTCTGTGGTGTCATCGGAGGCACTGCTTGCTTTGCACACATCCAGTAAGATACAGTTGTAATTGTCACTTGAAATATACAGAGCAGCTAAACAAAAATACCCCGCGTTAAAATGCTGGACATCAGCCAACCGACCCAGAGAGAGAGAGAATTAAAGTCATTTGGGTTAGTGATAGGTTTATGTTTAATTTTCTTTAAATCTTCTTTCTATATTAGTTATATTCTAATTTTGCCGGAGCTCTCTACAGGGATACAGTGATAGAAAATGTGCCTTGTCAACTATGTCCCTTTCCCTAAAATAAACAAGTTTGCTGAAATCCAAATGTAACTCAAACGGGCACGACAATCCTACAGAATGGACCGGGAAGTTTTCCTTTTGAAAATGCAAATCGAGATGTTTGATACTGACACTTATGTAATAATTCAGTGATCATCTTAATGTATTATATAGACAGTCATCGTTTAGATGTGAGTGACCACAGATAACCCCCAAGGGGCAAAATTAACTCTGGTTTACTTTGGACATTATTCATAATCATCACTGAAACGCCTATAATTTTTAACTGAGGTGGATCGTTCTAATAAACAGGATTAAGTATTTTTATATTAACCAGGCCATCAACCATTCGCTGTCTATGTTAGATTAGAAGCCCTGTATTTGTAGAACAATTGCGTATCTTTTACACTGCGCCTTGGAGTTTGCCGGGGTATTTTTAGTTGCATTATTAAACCGACCATACTGGACTCATGAAGCTTCCTGTGCCCTTACCTGAGTTTCCGTGAGGCTGAGGCTGTGTGCCAATTGTTTCCTTTCTGCTCCTACGACATAGTGATTCTTTTCAAAGGCATGCTCCAGTCTCAGTAACTGGGATGGCGAAAAGGCTGTGCGAATCCGTTTGGGTTTCCTGGCCAGTGCGTTGTGCAAGAGGAAGCTCTCTGGGCTGGTTTCATTCCCTGGACAACAGGGCAAAAACAAAGGTGAGCAACACACCTTTCCATAAACACCCTCCATTGGCATTATTGGCTCCTAGCGTTACTTTCTCACTGTTATCCAGTGGGGGGAAAGTCGTACTCGGTGCTTTTTTTTCAAGGTCCTTCTTCATATAACTATTTCCTCCACCGAGTAGAAATAAAAGGGGAGTTCCAGAGCGGCACAATAAATTAATCAAATAAAATCCCCCCTATCCGTGGTTTACAGATTAATGGATGCCATAGCTGTGCTACTTGTTTATGGTATGAAGCGGCTCACAACTGGGTTTCGATTCAATCGATGATGATATTTTACACCTTATCAGAAAGGCAACGCGAGCAGCTATTCTAATGCTTTCTATTCCGCGGGTGCGCAAGTGTGTGGTGATCACTGTGCCAAACATGCGTCTGTTCAGAGACAGCCCCATATTCCTTGGGGCTGATGTTCCAGAGGCTTGGGGTTATTTTCCCCCCCTTTTTGGTTTTGTTTTAAACTGTGTCCTTTAAATAGCCGCGCGCCGTCTTTAAGCCGACCCAGGCACTACCGTGTACCTGCAGTGCTAATGCCCGAGAGGAGCTGGTTACCCTGAAATCTTTATTTGCCAGCCCCACGCCACTGCAGCAAGAGTGACACATTTTCGTTATAAGGCACAAACTTTGGGGAAAGAAATCTGAAGACGCGTTTTGCGGACGTGAAGGGGTGCGGGGGTTGGCTGGTTGCTGTCCCTAAGACCTATCGCCATTTTCCACTCATTGAAATCATTTCTTGCGCGGTTACAAAACCGCCGAAGAGCCAGCGAGGTCCCGTTCAGTTTTCTTTAAAGATCGCTCCATGAGGAGCCTGAGCTTTCAACCAGTCTGTGGCCCAACACTGGGAAATTCCCGCCTGCTCTCTACCAATCGGCTGGTAACTGTGACAAACAATTTGGTCAGCGAAACCTGTAATTTTATTCTGAGAGGCTATAATCCGTTTTGAACCTCGTCTCCCATTCTTCAGAAAAGCTCTCGCTCTCTGCCGGGGGGCGGCCAGGGTTGCATTTTGCAGTCTGGAAAACAGGCTGCGGCTTTCAGAATAAACAAGAGTGGGGTTGTTGTGTGTGTTTTTTAAAATGTCTTGAACTGGTGAACGCAGAAAAAAAAATCCACCACAAAAGTGAATGGAACATAGTCGAAAAGAAACCCGATCTTTCTTTGGGGGAAGCAAAGCTGTTAGCAAAGGGTTAACTAACTGGGGCAGAGGGGGATTTGTTTATTGATTGTGTGCATAAGCTTTGGTTATTTTTTCCTCGGCTGGTTATTAATCATTTGGCCACTTTACGGAATTGCAATTGAAAATTCCTCCTCCTCCCCTCCAAAAAATAATACTCTCTCTTTCTCATCTGTGTTCGTTTTCCTTTAAGGCAACAACCGCTCACTTTGTTGCATTATTACTATTATTTTGTTGCTGTAAACAATAGGAAGCCATGGATTTTTTTTAAAACGGAAACTCTTCCTCGCGCCGCCTCTGCGGAGCTCTGCTGGCCTGTCCAGGGAGAAATAGAACGCGAATACTACCGGGTTTATGCCTTGTCTAAACGACATTTGATGTTCCCTGCAGCTGTGTCACTGTGGGTGCCTCTGGCAGGCCCCGATCCGGAGCATGGACAATGAGAGTCCTTTGAAAACGTGCCACAGATGTTAGAGGGGATTTTTTAAAACCCCCACAACTTCAGTGATTGATCTTTAAACCACTTTAAACAACCGCTACCCCCCGCCTGAGCCTGTCCGGCTCCCCCTGCCGCCCCGCACACACCCTGTCCGCTGACAGCTCAGTAGCGGGGCAAAGAAAAATCAGAGACAATTCCCCCAACCGGAGCCAAACCTGCGCCCAGTTTAGGGACTTTGGCTGAGCTCTCTGCTCCGGACTCCCCTCTTCGCTTTTTACAAGGCGCCCTCCGCTCCCCTCCCAACGGACCAGGTCCTGGAGTTTGTACCGGTCCAATTTCACTCCCAGGCTTTCCAGATTTCCTCTCCCCTTCACCCCCACCCCCACACTGCGGGTGCTGGGACAGAGTGGATCCGGGGCGCCGCGGGGCGCGGCTGGCCAGGGAAGACACGTACCTTGGAATCTGTGGCCCAGGTAGCGATATCTGTGTATTAGCCAGGGGTAGAAGGTGGAAGGGTCCCTTTGCTGCGAGGCAAACAGCGGGTGCGGGGAGTGCGAGGAAGGCAGGGGGTGGGCGGCCAAGGCGTGGGGAGGTGGGACCGGGTGCACCGGCACGGCCGGGTTCGGCGGATGGGAGACGGCCTCTGCAAAGACCAAGTCCGGGTTGGTGTAGACCCCTCTGCCGGTGGAGTGGAAGCCGTTGAGGAAAGGGTTCATCGGGCTGGAGTTGGCATAGCTGAGCGCCGCCGGCCGGATAGGGTCCTCGGAGCGAGACGCGGGCAAGGGGCTGTCTTTGGCCACCAGCGACTCGATGGTGAAACACCGCTTGGGGGTGGGCTGGAACATGCTGCGGCAGCTGGAGTCCCCCGGCCAAAGCTCTGTCGGTCTCTGGTGCGCGAGGAGCGAGCTCCGCAGCCCCCTGCGTCCGCCCGGAGCCGGGGAAGTTTGCAGCGGGGAGTGACTTCAGGAGGGCTAGATACACACATAAATAGACAGGGGCTGGCGGAGAGGCGGCGGCGGCTAAGCAGCACCCGAAAGGGAGAGAGACACACACCCCAAAAGAAAGTTGCCGGGAGAAGTTTCCCTCCTGCGGAAGGCGGCCACTCTACGTCCAAAGACAATCCATGGAGGTGATCGGTCCCTTCCCAAGTTGTGCAAACGATTTGTTAGTTCATGAGCCTAATTAGTGCTGGGATCACATAAACAGCTTCCTCTGAAGCCTGGTAAATGGCTTGATGATTGGTCGCTATTACTCGCCTGGAGGTTGAAAGGGGGAGACTCTTTAAAGTGCGTCAGAGAGGGGAGGCGAACTCCGGGAGCTGGGATCCTGGAGGGCTGGATCCAGGGCCCGGAACGGAGTGCGCCTCTTGCCACTCGCTCCAGAGTGCTGGCGTCTCCTCCTCTAGCAGCAGAGCCTGCCTTCCCTCCCGCAGCCCAGCCGGGGATAGCTAAGGTAGGTAGGAGCCCAGGGATTTCCCACCTCTCCGGCTGGGGCGGGAGGCGCTCGGATCGGCCATTGCTGGAGTGGATTCGCTCCCATGCCGCCTGTCAGCAAGTTCAGCCATGCCCCTCGCTCGCCCGCCTCTGCTCTCCCCTCATGCCAAGGTGTTGCCAACGTCCTATCTGGGGCGCATTGCTCCCCCAAAAGCCGAACCACCAGGGGATTGCCTGGGTTCCGCACGGGGTACCCTCACCGTCAGAGGATCCGGCTTTGAAATCGTTTACAGGGGGAAACGTCTGGGCTAGTTGTGTGTGTTGGTTGCGAACTTCCTGATGGGCGATTGCCTCTCCACCACAGTGGGCACAAAGCAGGGCAGCCCGGCGAAGATGCTTGCAGTATGCAAAACTAGGGCAGGCTGGGTTGGTGCAAGGAGAAAGGCGAGCAAGTCACAAATCCTAGCCCTGTCCGTATTTTCGAGATTACCTTTGGGTTTGGGAATGATTTTAGGGCCGCGTTCTCCCGCTCCTATTGGCTGGAGCTGGAGAATAATTATGATCACATCCTAATCCTGCTGGCTGCTGCTTACTGTTTATTGGTAGTTAAGGATCTATTATCTATTCATCAGCCTCCTATTTTTGCCAATTACATTCTTCTAAAGTGAAGTACCAGCAGGTATTTTGCACATTTACAATTAATGATAAAAAAATCTGGCGTGCTTTAAATCTATTACGCTGCTGTGTAATTTATCTTAAAGATGCAGAATTGCTAATGCAAATGAGAGTTTCTGTTGAACTAGGGGTTGGAAAAAGCCTTGCAAAAGCAGCCTAATATTTCCTTCTGTTTTTTCCTTTGAATACAACTAATCGTTTACGCTATTGTGTTAAATTATTTTACAATCGTCATATGGACTGACACGCTCCTTTTCCAATAATTAGCGAGTTTAACTCTCTTGACTTCCTTTTATGCACTGTCTGTGTTTAAAATAGTTGACTCTTTTGCAGCTCCTTGGTATTTTCAGAATAGCAAATAGGTAGAATTTTGTTACATGCATTTAACAAACATTAATGTGTGTATACATATTTACCTATGCAAAATGTACACTATCTAGCTAATTGTAGATCTGTTATAACAATATTATACACATACATACCTTTATAAATATGTTTGTGTATAAAAACATACAGTAGAGTTAGCATGGCTGTAACACAATTCAGTTATTAGAATTTACATAATTTGTTAAAGTTCTACATATTTGGATAAATCTTTCTCCCTCACATACGCTCACACACACACACACACTACGATATATACGTGTACATAGATTGTACTGTAAACATGCTGAACTTCGTTTATTTCAGAGGTAGGTTATGGTTTTCTTTTTCTTTCCTAGCCTAGTTGTATCCTCTGTGTATTTGATGCCCTTATGTTGGGAGAAGGAGTCTTCTAACTTTATTTTTTGCTTATGACAGCGACACTCTGTATCTCATAAAGCGCTGTTATGGTGACTGTTACAGAAATCTGGGTTCCTTTTTTGTCGATTAAAACCAGCGTCGTTGGCAGAGGACACTAACGATGACTGTGAGAATGTGTTTTTCGGTTTAACTGAGCGGGGGTTTTGATCATTGTTACGGGACATTACAAATAAAAGGGACATTTCTTCTTGCTCTTTTAAAAACAATCTCTCTCTCTCGCTCTCTCGCTCTCTCTCTCTCCCCCCCCGCCCCACCTCCTTCCGTGTGTGTTTAAAACCGATTCATGTTTACCTGAGTTTTCAGGATGAATCTGCCTTTGAATGCCCTGTCATTCTTAGATGCTAGGACCTTAGTTCCATCCATCCAAAATTACCAGGATATTTTGAAAACAGCAGCAAAAACCTCAGCTCTGTGTGTATGTGTGTAATTTACACGCAAAAAGCCCTATGGGGTGAAATGTCTTTATGAATTATAAGTTATCATCATTATGTTAGATGAAGACGAGCTATTTAGTCCAAAATTCCTCCCTTACGGGGCCCTTTTCGCTCGGCGGAGGAGGCTGTGGAGTCGCTGCAGGCTGTAGCTGATAGCAGAAAACCCCAGTGGGGGGACAAGCGGGGTAGGAAAGGAGAAATCTCCGCTTTGATTCCCAGATTTCGCACGGAAAACCTGATTCTCTGGTCCAACAACCTTGGGGTCCGGTTTTCCTCTCCTTACTCAAGGGGCCTCCAGAGTAGAAAGTCTGTAGGAAGCCTCGGGCGGGTAAAGTCAGCGGGGTTTGCCAGATGTAATTCCCTTGTCCCTCGCAGCTGAGCCTTTTATTTTTAACCCCCTGGAGCCAGGCCGGAGTTGTGGGCACAATATTTCATTAACATTCTTCGGACCTGGCTTCGGAATCGAAGGGCAAGCTGATCTGAAAGGCGACCGGCCAAACAGATTATTTATATATCTTGTTTTCTTTTACTTTGGGGGAGGAAACCACCTTCCCATTTAGTGTTTAAATCTCCCTGTTCAGAATCCTGGGCGTACATGTACACTCAGTTAAATTGCAGCAAGGAGGTTAAGGCTGGACATTAGGAAAAACTTCCTAGATGTCAGGGGGGTTAAACACTGGAATGAATTGCCTAGGGAGGTTGTGGAATCTCCATTACTGGAGATATCTAGGAGCAGATTCGATAGACATCCATCCTGGATGATCTAGACCGTACTGGGTTTTGCGGTGAGGGCAGGGGATGACCTTTCAAGGTCCCTTCCAATTCTAGTGTTCTATGATTCTAAGGTCTACGTCCATTTGTGTGCATACATGTTTTAGGGCTATATCCACTACATAGCTAGAGAAAAAGGGAGAAGGCGAGAGAAAGACTAGATGTACCGCTTAGAAACTCTGCCTGTGACTTGTGAGTGCAACCCTCTCTCTCCGGGTAACACCTCGAAACTCTTTATACTGCCCTCCCTTCTGAACTTCTCCTACAGAGCTTGTTGCTTCTTGATTGACTCTTCTTGATGTTTTCTTGGCGTAGAAGAACAGAAAATCTGGCACGGACCCCGTGATAACAATCCACGATTTGCTTAAAATATTCTTCAAGGCAGTCTAGCTCGGAGGGAGTGGTGCTCTGGATTTGCAATCGAATTACATGTCTGGCCTCCACTGCATTAGTCTTGTGTTTCCAAAGTATGCTCATCTCTCAAAGCGAGAGCCAAGGGGGAGAGGGGGCAGGCCTCGGACCTTTGCCATGGCAGGGGCATGCGTGTTGTTTATGAACTGAAACGGGCTGAATTTTAGCAAAGCGAGTCTGTCTCCCCGAGTATGAAACCAGTTCTTTGTGTTCTCAGCTCAGACCCTTTGGCGTTCCAAGTTTTTCTCCCGTCGAGTGGTGCTGGGGAGTTTCGGTGACAAAGTAAGTTTACGGTGCCGGTGAAGGGGAGAGGACAATTAGTTGGCTAAACACACAACTTATGTCGGGTATATGAGCTCTAAATATCGATAAATAGATTTCAGCGTGCCCCCAGCCCTTTAAAAGCACATTAAGCGGCGTAAACTATGGTAATTCATGCAGCCAGCGCCTGTACCGTGGAAATAATGTAGGACAGATCACACGGAAAGGGGCCTGTGTCGTGCCGAGGAATAAAGGGGACAAGTTACTTATTAAAGGAGAGACAGCGTTGGGAGGCGACAGTTTAATGCGCCGTGAGCGTAGTTCGCACGGGCTTTATGGACACAGGGTTCGAGACCGGGGTGCTGGCCCTGGTGGCTCTCTCTAGGTCGGTGGGGTCTGGTTTGAATCAATCTCCTGAGGTAAGCAGGTGGATTCCGCTGGCAGGGCCCTCCCCAGGTTGGCTGGCGGTTTCAATGGGCGATGATCCCTGTTGCGTTGATGGGCAGCGCTAGTAGCAGAAAATAAACACGCTGCATTGCTAGCAGCACCCAAACTGGAGCCCAATCTGAATGGGAGCCGCTCACATGTGGAGAGGAGCCACTCCCGCCCCATAGACAGACACATACACGGATGTTTGCAAGGGGGAGCCATGACAGAGGCCTCTGTCTTGCTAGTTCCCAGGTCTTTGGATATAAACAAATCACATTTCAATGCGCCGAATTCTGCTCTGAGGAAGGTTGCTTAAGCCAGTGGAGGATGCTAGGGCGATTCCTGGGCCTGACTTCCCAAGCGATTCTGTATTGGGTTTCAGGAACCTGGACACATTTGTTTAAAACAGCCTGGGGGAGGGGAGGCTGCTCTGTGATTGTGAATATTTGTACAGACTAATAAGAGCACCCAAGAAACCACGGGGCCCTATCCTGTAGTCCTCCTTCCCGCAAAACCCCTCTTCGTTTGACTGCCCGATTTCTCCTGGGTAAGGTCTGCAAAGGCCCGACCCAACGATAGTCCTCAAACTTTCCTCGTGTTCGTCAGGCGGGCTTGCGAGTAGGGCCGGGCAGGAGAGCTAATAGTTGATTTCATGAAATAGCATGTAGTGAGTGGGGAAGCTCCTAACCGCCAAAATTGTGTCGCCTGCCTGGGAGGGACACAGGTTTCACTCGGGGAAAAGGATAAGAGAGATGTGTGATTATCTTGGATATGATCGCATTGCTCACTGGTAACTGCGCCCTTGTCAATTCACAGGAGGGGTGGAAAAAGCAAAGCGCGGCTCCTCTTTGCACGGCCAAGCAGCAACGTCATAACAATGTGAGTAGGAGTCTGCACTGGTGCAGAAATGCCTCACTCCGGATCAGCGCCTCCTTGAGCTAGGAACTGCACAAACACGGCCCACGAGCGTGCAGTCTTTAAGAAACCCCATAGAAACGTTTTACAACTCACCTGCCTCTGGGTCATGTGTGACCTGCGGTTTAAAATGGCATTCACACAGAGAGTCCATAATCTGCCTGGAGCGCGACCAAATACTCGAGGAGACTAGTGTTTTAAATATCAACATAGAAGAAGACCCAAAAGGGGGGAAGGGGGACCATTTTGGTGTGGCAATAAAATGAGGAGTGAACGCAAGAGCTCCTCAATCGAGGCTATTTTGCAAACGTATCGGATCTAACACGGTGTCTACCGTATTTGTGATCAAGTGTTTAAATATTAAATAAATACAGTGTCCAGCGTTTGATGTTCATTCAATGGGCTCTTACAAGCAAGCGTCTCCAAACGCCAGTTTTTTAGAATCTATGTGTATGCAGCGCCGCCTACTGGCTAGCTGGTGGGAAAGGGTGACGACTATTTACCATTGACCCCTCAAAGAGAAACCAGGTTTTAAATATCTACTCTCTAATGTTAATGAACAACAAGAAAACAGCCTCTCCACCCCTTCATTTTGAAAGCATATCCTGATCCATAAGTGGGCGTTATTTTAGGAACATCATAAAATCGAATCGAGTTCCATGTTGGAAATGCTATTGAATACCCCACCCCCACTTGTTTCTAATGACAAAAGTTCAAACAAGATATAAAATATTATCAATATATTTTTATGTTGCAATTTAAAAAACACTTTCCAAAATGCGAATGCATTTGATGCTATATAGTTACAGCGCTGCTATTTAAAAGTCAGGATTTGCATTACCTATAATAAGATAAGATTTTTCTAGAGTAAGTTCCAGAAGCCAGAGATAATGTTTGCCCATTGATACGTTTCAGATTTTTCATAACTAATTACGGATTCCTGTACTGCATAATATGTATATAAAAACACAGTCGTAGCTGTATGAGTGATGGGCGCCGGGAAATCGCAGCTTAAAATTGCATAACCCCTCTCCCCATCTTCCATGTGCCATAGCTGTTGCCTCTTTGGACTCCGGAGGTGTTTAAATACCGATATTGTTTAGCCTGGAACGTGCCCTGTACCCTTACAATGTTTCAGAGGTAGCCGTGTTAATGTGTCAGCAAAACCAACAAGAAGTCCAGGGGCATTTTTAAGACTGTTTTATTACTGCATACTTTCAACTCAGGAAAGTTTATGCTGTAATAAAACAGTTAGTCTTTGGACTTCTAGTGGTTTTCCTGACAACGTTGTATGAAAGACAATTCACTCATCGTTTCTAGCACCAGGGAGGCTCCCACAGTGTCTCTCCTTGAGCTAAAAGGCTTTTTGACTCTAAATCCACCGAGTGACTGACGGAGAGAAGACGGAGGCTAGAAAGAGACCCACATGCTCTGTAGTGCGTGTTCCAACCACAGGAGCAACAAATACACTAGTAACAAGGGAGATTTCCAGGCCATAGGGTGCGTTTGTGCAGGGGGTGCTCTAAACTTTATCACAGGAGAAATTTTACTCTGTTTGCTTTCTAACGGGCTGGAGTTGACCAGGAGATACCGGAGAACACGCGAACTCGTAGAGGGGCTGGGAAGTGGGGAAGAAACCTCTCAATTCTAGAAGAGGCGCGGGAAAGAGAACCCAGTGCCCCTGGTACTTCTGTTCCTGTGTGGCTGGGGGAGAGAATGCATTGAAACGTAGAAGCGCATCCTTACTAAAGTAAGGTGAGGCGCGCACAGCAAAGTGAGCTGAAGTAATACAAGCCTCCGAGGAACCGATCCTGTTGTTCTCAGGACGACCGCGGCCCCTTTGTTAATTTCACCTCCGAGAGAGCTTTGCAGCGCCGATCCCTCGCTTTCGATGGAGGAGCATTCCTCCTGGTTTTGCCTTTCTTGTACAGTAACAATTGCTTTATCTCCTCAACTTTGTCCTCCCCACCCCATCCCTTAGCGTTTCCACCTTTTGCATATTCTCCTTCCCTGGCCTACACATGCTCATTGCTCTGAATGCATATAGCCTGCTATTTTGCAAACGCCCTACAGTCCTGCTTTCAGGCGTGGGGCTGTCCCGCGTTGAAATCAATGGTCTGAAATGGCCTCGCTCCTTCCGAAGATGGCCATTCACTGCATGTTACTTTTCGCAGTGAGTCGCATCTGTGGTGGGTTTTTTTTTCTGCAGAGTTGCAAAGATACTTTGTTTGCCCAACAGACTCGTTTGAATCGCGTTGCTCAGTGAACGCTCCACTCAATCTCACATCTGCCCTAAATAGAGCTAAAATCTGTAGCGATATAGCGACCTGCTGAATAACACTCCACTTTGTAATATCAGCGGGGCGGTTTTCATTGCTGCCCCCAAATCCCGATCCTGAATCATTTACACCGGTATGATTCTCTTCACTTCTTTCGGAGTATTGGCTGAGTGAGGAAAGCAGCGTCGTGCTGGAGAGGTTCACCAGTCTCTTCCACTAGCTCCAGTAGCTTGTCGATGCGGTGGCATGAGATTATTGACACCAGCCGCAAATCCTATGCTGGCCCTACCAGAGCCTCTACTTCTGCAAGAAGTTCTAACAGAGAAATTCAGTCGTGTAGACAGTGCTTACCCGGGCGACAAGGGTCGATCTATCCCCCCCCCCCCCCCCCCCATTGGTCACTCAGCTGTATTGACTTTAAAGTCCATTTCCAGCCGTGTTTGTGTGTTTAAATATGAAAGAAATGTCTTACGATCTAGCTCCCCTCCCCTCTGCCGTTCAGAATTTAAGAGTGATCTGTGTCTATACTGTGTCTACTATACTGTGTCTACTACATCTCCTCAATTGGAAAGTCTCAAACGCTAAAAAGAATGGCCTTGGTTATGCGGGGGCTTTGGCCCCCTCTTTTTCCCTCCTAGCAATCTCGGTTTGAATTACCGGAGACCGAAGGAATCTGAGGGGGAAGGAGACAAAATAAATCTCAAATAATTCACCAAGCTTCTAAAGCTGAGATTCAATATTAGCACATTGAAGTGTCATTTAGTACACTAATTAATGCATTTTTAAAGACTTTAAGTGCATAATTGCTGGCAGTGGCACCTTAGAATGGAAATATAAGTATTCTGCTTTGACAACCACAACCTCGCAGAATTGTCTCTAGCTGATATACATTCCCAAATAACCAAGAATCTACACGCCACAGAAGCGCATACAGCGTATAATAAAACAATCCCTCAAGCTGAGTTTCCTTGTATATTTCAAGCCTATAGGGCCCCGTGTCACATTTTTAGACAAGCTTAATTATGTCAAACACGATGAGGGGTTTTTTTTTTTTCTTGAATTGCATGCGATTCTATCAGGTTACAGCCACACTACGCTGTGTTTTGAATGCGGCAACCTAAACAGTACAGACAACATACAGTATTGTCTGTGAATGTATAGTCTATTTGTCTGAAGGACAAAAATCTGTCCCAGCCTTCTAGAAAAACTTTAATTCTGAACAGGGAGTGCGCCCCCTGTTACAGAGAAACCCAGCTGAGAGGTAAATACTCTAGCCAGTGTTCCTAAATATGCTTTCTACAGGTCCTTTTTGTAGGGCTTGCTAAAGGGAGTACAGCTCGCTAGGCTTGTACAAAGATCTTATCGCAGCAGAGACAGAGGGAAAAGTCAGGCAACTCACGAGTAGCCATAACAAGTATTTGGCCCACGCTAAAACCATTCTATGCAACATCAGAGTGTCAGAAAGGACTCATACAATAGATATTAAAGGGGCTTTTTAATTATGCGACTGAATTATTTCTAAAAACGGGAAGCCGTTCATTTAAAAAAAATCCATGATAGGAGGTTTTACTTAATGAGCTCGAGCTAACGGGTATGTGTTAGACCCTTGTTAGTTTCTTGGGGTCAGAACCGTAGCACCACCAGTATGATTTCTATGCCTGTGCAATGGTAGTTTGGCAAAAGACATGGAAAGGTGTAACTGTTCAACTGGGCTTTAATATCCTGCTTTATTTTCATCCCAAAGTTCGTGGCGGCAAAAGGAAAGGCGGTTCTGAGGGTACCAGATCCTTATGATTACTCCCCTGCCTTTGATCGCACCAGGCCCTCATTATCTGTCAGCGATCTGGTTCTGATTGTCCCAGATCACCCTTGTGAACCGGCCGCCCTGCACGTTGGGGTTTTAATAAAGCAGAGCCGCACTGGGGGGACAGGAAAGAACACCCCCAGGAGCAAAATCCCCAACAGCTTCCATTCTTTGGCCACTCGCTTCCCTGAAAAGAGGGAGGAATCTGAACGATCCCTCTCGTTAGCCTGGGCCGGGTCTGGGCTGTGTGCAGTTAGATGTTAGAAGCCAGCCCAGGGCGGCACTCCTGGGTAATGTGTTCCATATGGCCAGCCGGCGCACAATGTGCTTTCTCTCGCGCGCTCCGAATTCTCTCGCCTCCCACTCCTTTTCGCTCGCTCGCTAGACATTATTTCTAAGCCACGCGGTAAAAAAAGGAAAGTGGCTTTTCTCTCGTGGCTCCTCCATCATCCTCAGCTCAGAGGAGGAGATTTCAACCCCGGGTGAAACGGCGCGTTGCCCTCCTCGCTAGGTTCTCCAAAGAGGCGCGCAACCAACACCTTTTGCGCCCAAGAGAGACGGGATCCGGGCTGCCCACGAAAGGGTCCTGCACCGGGATCTCCAGCCTCATTTAGACTGGAGCGCAAACTCTCGCACGGGCAACCGATCTGCAGGGGTGATGGAACACTCCGGATCTTTTCCCAGGAGGGTGTGAGGCTGGGCTGCCGAGAGTCGGTTCCGCACCTCCAGGCAGCCTCGGCTCCCATCTGCGGAACAAAGCTGCTGCTGCTGAAAATACGGCGTAGAGACTCCCACCAAGGTGCCCCCCAGAGCAAACAGCTTCTGGCTGCGCCGCCTCTGCCGCTCACCTAGGTAGAGCCAGGGAAGGAAGCCCGGGGCAACTGCACCCCAAAGCGGACGTGCCAGGCAGAGTCAATGTGAGCGTTTTATAGCATGGCTTAATAACTGTGAGTGGTACGCGGGGTGCTGATTTGAAGGTGCCCCATGGGGCACTGTTAACATCGAATTTGTTTTATATGCTCCAGGGGCGGGACATGGGGACTTAAAAACCTACCTAGAAAATAGGAAAGGGGAAGCAAAGTTGACAGCGTAGTTGATATTTGCTTATTGGAAGCCTGAAACTCCGCAAAGACATCTGAACTGATCCATTTGTATAAAGAGACTCAATTCCAGCTGTGCTCAGCCACTGACAAAACCGAAATCCCCATAGCAATACTCACAAAGACGGTCATTTAAAAAAAATAAAAGCCCCGCACAACTAGAAGGACGAGGCTAAAATAATTGGTTGAATTAACTATCA